GAAAAGAAATATATAAAGAAATGACTTCCCCCTTCATCACAAGTATAAACAATTTTAGTAATTTACCACCTTCTCTTAAATACAACAAATGATTTCTTCTTCCCACATCCCATCTATGAACAAATCCTTAAAGCCTTGTCACTTCAGTCCTGATCAGCAAAAATCCATTAAAGGTTACTAGAGATAACCAACTTTACATTCTTTCCATTTACTTTTAACAATCTTGATTTTTAATCTCTTCAAATAGTGTCCTAGAACCTGGTTTCTTTTCATTTTTTCTTTGTCCCTTCTCACAAAATCCTTCAAAACGTTAACAGATCTCTTTTGTAAATCCAGTATGGGAAAGTTATCCAAGTCACACTTCTGGTTTGTTATTTATATATCCTGTTTAATTATTAAGACATCAGCCAGTTTCATTTGTATATCCAACATAGCATCTTTTTCCATATCATTCTTGTAGTCTGTCATTTTTAAATCCACTGTGATTCTTATTAATGTTGAACTTAGTAAAAGCAAGAAGATTCTTTAGAGTGCCCATACTTGAATCTTAGGACTCTTTTCCTTTTAGAGTGCAAATTAGAGACCGAGAAATCAAAGTGAATATCTTTGACATGGCTGGACACTCCTTCTTTTATGAGGTAAGAAAGGGATAGCTTTTTAGCAATGAAAACAGCACATAAAGTATGCAAATGAAGCTAAAATACTGTATGCCAGAGTTCAGACAATACACTAAATTATCATGTAGTCTGTTTTTGGCTTAGCCTAATGTGTGAACCTAGCCACTGCGGGGTATAAATAATGATTTATAGCTTAGTTTTGGTGGCCATATCATGCAAACCTGGCATGATGACTATTTCTGATTTTACCCAGTCCATGACTTGGGGTAAGTTTATTTATGGATGCCCTCCCTGATTTTTTTCCCACTTAAAATAATAATTGCACTGAGTCTGTCTGCTGCCAGAAAATAAGCCAGGGATGGGTAGTTTGTAGCTGTGTTGTTTGGGAGAATGAATGGCTAAACTGTCGGTGGTGGTTGTCGGATCATAGCATGCAAGTATACCTTACATGTTAAAATAATCACCAAGATCTGGCCCCATAATCTGTGCATTAGAATTGTATCTGAGATTTTTTGCCGGAACTCTGTGTCAGTTATAGTGATGTAGTAATTAGTTGACATTTGTCAACTAAGGCATATAAATGGAAAATGTTTGTATTCTTGTACATTATCTAAACAGGTATATTTATATATTGCAGACTTTGACTTGTTCAGATGTAATGCACATGTTATATTATTTCTGCAGTTGCACATAAATGGTCAGAAATTGATTTAATAATCTGAGTTTATGCTCTGCTTATTTATAGTTTAAGAGTCACTTCTCTTTTCTAGAGCTATCTATTGGGATATAAAATTCACCTGCGTTATTTCTGTCCTATATTAGGTGCGCAATGAGTTTTACAAAGACACTCAGGGTGTAATCCTAGTGTATGATGTTGGGCAAAAGGAATCATTTGATGCCCTTGACTTATGGCTTGCTGAGATGAAACAAGAACTTGGACCGCATGGAAACATGGAGAACATTGTTTTTGTGGTTTGTGCCAATAAGGTAAAGACAGGAATAGGGTGTAGAAAGCTTCTTGCAGCATTGGCAGTGGGATCGGTGGGACTTTATTCATATTTATTAAATGCTTAAAGAGGTTAAGCTAGATAAAGGAGCATGTAAATAATTATTAGTCAGGATTACGCTCTTCTCTCATTTTTGTTTCAGATTGACTGTGCCAAGCTGCGCTGTGTCGATGAAGGTGAAGGGCGACTGTGGGCAGAAAGCAGAGGCTTTCTTTATTTTGAAACCTCTGCACAGACTGGAGAGGGAATTAATGAGATGTTCCAGGTAAAATCTGCAGCACAAAACAAGGCAGTCCTCCTGCATCCCTTTTCCTTGGTGTGCGATGATTTGTTCCGTGTAATCTCTCTCTGGGAGACCTCTAGGTTGATACTTTCTGGTCTGTGTATAACAAATACTGGGTTTCTGACCACCTAGCAGCCTGAAAGTTCACGATAAGCATAGAACTGAAGCAATGTTTAATTATTATTAAAAGTTATGTTATTTAAAATTATTAACATTTTATTAAAAGGCCTGGGAAAATAATGACTTTGTCTATCACCAAAAAGACAGAATGTCCTACTGGGGAGGACATTCCAAAGGGGCTATTACTGAAAATGACTACTTCTAGGTACTCATTGTACCTTGTCTTGGGAGGGCACTTGGAGCAGGGTCTCTGAAAATGATCTTAGGCCAAGTGTAGAAATATATATAGGAAGACGTATGATACTGTGGCCTCAGGCTATGAAGGGCTTCATAGGTTAAAGTCAGAACCTTAACTCGGAAACAAACCGGGAGCCAGTGAAGATTATAAAGAATTGGCATGTTGTATTCAGATCACCCAGGGCCAATCAGTATTACTGCCACAGCATTTTGTACTAGCTGAAGCTTCTGAACTGTTCTCAAGGGCAGCATGCTTATACGTCGCTGTCATCCGAACAAGGACGACTATTACCAAGGCATGAACACCATAGCAAGGCTATCTCAGACTTACCTGCAATGTCATGGCCTTCCAGAAAACATTAAAAACTTAATTGTTCAGAGGGCCTTTGGTGGTTGATATTGTCTTGCTGCAGCTGGGTGATTTTTAATTGTGTGTTTTTCTTTATGTTCTTTACGTTGGGTGGTTTTTAATTGTGGTTTTCTTTATATTGTTTGTCATGGATATAGTGATGTTGATCATAATTTAATTTGATGTTATGGGTTTGAGGTTTGTTTTTATTGTGGTTTTAATTTTGTGGTGTGGATGCTGTTTCTAGATTTATCATGCATGTTTTATTATTTATCAATGTTTAATGGAGCGATTTAATTGTGTTGTAAGTTGTCATGAGTCTTTATGGAGTGGGTAACATATAAATTATAGCAGTCAATCAGCTGGTCAATAAAAAATAGTCTCTATCCAAGTAAGGCCATGGCTGATGAACCAGCCTGAGCTGGTGAAAGGCACTTACCACAGAGACCATTTGTGCCTCTGGTGACAAAGATCAATCCAGAAGCAGCGCCAAACTACAAACCCAATCCATTAGGGGGAGTGCAACCCCACCCAGAGCAAGTTTATCTTTGCTAACCTGAACAGATGAACTGTCTGCCAGCAGCATCTTGAACTTCAGTTTGTTAGGCTTATCCAGTCCATTACCACAGTAGACACTGATTCAACAGTTGCGCTGCCTCATCTGGACCTGGTGGAAAGGAGAGTTTTAGCTGAATGTCATAAACTTGCTGACAACATTTTACTCTAAATCTCTGAATGATTTCATGTATATCTTAAACAGCATGGGGGATAAAATGGAATCTTGTGGAACCAAAAGTGTAAATGCCATGGGGTTGAGTATAAATCTTCAGCACTATCTTTGGAGACCACTTTAGATATGAGTGGAACCACTTCAAGGCTATTCTACTCATCCTATCTAGCTTTTACAACTTGTCCAGAAGGATGCCATGGTCAATACTATTGAAAATTATTCTATCACATCCTTGATTGATTTTCTTCCTTATGAGAATCTGCTTCCTCTGTAAGATGTTTTTGTAACAGCTATTTTGCTTGCTTTGGTAAATCTTCATCTTCTCATACAATATGAAGTGTGACCACTTGTTGACTTTTTCTTTAAACACTATTACCTTGACGTGCTGCAAGTACGTGCGAGGTTGTTTGGGGGCATGAATACAAACATGCCACAATTATTTCCAGTCATGAATGCAGACTTTTTTCTGTCCATTTTCATTTTTGGTTCTTAAGACATCATTGGTAGAAGATTTTTATTTTTCCTTGTTCCATTCTGAGGCTAATAGTACCTTTTCTTGACTTGGAGAGAAAATGTCTGAGGGTCTCTCCTCTTTCACTGGCAAATTCCCATTCTCTCTGTTGGCATATGTAATATTCTCTCTGTTCAAGAACAAATAGTGCAAGAGATTGTTACAATGCAGGAATTAGTCTAATGCAGTGTTGT